GCAATCACTTGTTATGCATCAGAGCTGGACACTGACCAAGGAGGGTAGGAGGAGAATTGATGCTTTTGAGCTTTGGTGTTGAGAAGAGTGCTGGAGGTGCCATGGACTGCTAAGAGAACAAACAGATTCATCCTAGAGAGGGCTAAACCGGGCTGTTCCTCAGAGGCAAGGATTCTGAGGCTTCGTGTGACATACTTTGGTCATGTTGTAAAGAGAGACCGTTCCTTGGAGAGGGACATCATGCTTGGGAGGGTGGAGGGCAGGTGCAGGAGGGGAAGGCCCTCTGGGAGATGGATTGATTCGGTGACTGGGGCACTTGGGATGAGTTTGTTGGAGGTAATGAGATTGGCACAGTACAGAGCAGTTTAGAGCTATTGTACATAGGGTCGCTATCTGTCGCAAGCCACTCGACGGCACATAACAACAACAACAACAAGATTCTCATTGGTTGTAAAATTTCTCTGGAAGGGAATTTTATAGGATTACTTCTGCAGCATCACAATTTAGCATTGATTTCAGAGTTTTGTAGACCTTTTCAAAGAACTTGTAGAATTGATCACACAGAAATGCCTCTTAATCCATCTACATCTATCTATGTTTTAAGTGATTTACCTCCCAAGCATATTAGGAGAATCTTGTCTTAGGGACCAGCTGTAGGTCTCTGGCCACATCCGGGAGGTCAGCTACCACTGTGCATCCTGTATTCCCACATATTTGCACTGGTGTCTGAGATTGCTGCAGCTGTTCTTGTGTTATTGTGCTCTTTCTTTCCAAATCTTATGAATACCTTGACTTATTTTTCCTTGCATGACAGGTTTCTGTTCTGTCATTCAAACTATGGTACAAACAGAGTAAAAATTTTTGAACAGCAAAAAAAGTGGAATAGAGAAAACTATATTATGGCAAAATTTACTTAATTTTAGCTATAATAAATCTAATGTTTATATAATTGTACTTATTAAGAATTCAACATAGAAATATCCTTATTTGATGTAACAGATGTACATGCAAATTAATTATATTGTGACAGTTATCTTCCTGTAGGTTTTTTTTAAGGTTATTGGGCATTTTTTTAGGATTACATTTCAATCCTAAACTTAGAGAGAAGAGACAATTTAAAAAGAGAGCTGAACATATCCTTCCTTTCCTACTAGTAAAGAGGTTACAATGCAACAGTTCTTTGGTTTCCAACAAAAACTGCCTTGAGTTATGCTGTGTATATTGTTTTGCCCTGAGGTTTAGTTTCTATTTATTTATGACAATATTTTACCCATTGCTACCATTACTTTGGTATTTTAAATTGTCTCAAATTTCAAAATGGAAGCTTCTTCAGGGTAATTTCTGTGTCTTTCAAAATGAACTTATAAGGAAATTTACATTTTTTCACTTGAATTAACTTTAACATTTTTTTTCAATCAGTTTGTCTATTGGTATAATAGGTAATAATGATATCACTAAAGTTATTAAATTATGCTTTATTTTTTAACATACTTAATTTTTTTATTTTTAAATTCCCTATTCCCTCTATACAAGAACCTTTGCTAAAACACTTTCTAAATTATGCTTTATTTTTATAACTTCTACTTTGCTCTGTATCTTCTACACACATAACTCAATTATTTAAAAAATTACACATTTGTTTCTACTCTAACTACTTTCCCTCTTGTAGAAACTCCCTTAAAGAATAAGGGAGAATGATATGAAACAAAATGTGAATAAAGAAGTGGATAAAATATAATGTATGTAAGTTAAAAAAAATCGCTAAACTTAAATGAAAACTAGCATAGATCTTGATAAAGAAAAAATTGCTGTTGCTTTTTCTGTAAAAAAATAAAAAATGAATAGGGATACCACAGCTTGAAAATTATAATGCTAAGAACTTATGATCTTAGCACTAAGATAACAAAATTGTATACACAGCAAGAAATTAACATCTGATATATATTTTTATTTTTTCATTTTCTTGGGTTCAGTTGCCTCTCAAGTTGTGATTTAGGGCATGGTTGAGACAGAAGGAGCAAAAGATTGGGAAAAGGGGGGAAAAGTTAAAGTTGTTTTTAAAAAAAATTTACAACTTTATCTCTTAGGACAGTGTCATTTATTATTCCACAGCAATGACTTTGAAGTCAGATAAAGAGGAGATCAAGCTTCCATTCAACTTTCATCAGTGACATTACCTTTGGGAAGAATCTTCAAACTGCTATAATTTTCTGGGATTTTTATTTTCTTCATTAGTACCATTTAGTTTATTTGTAAGCATGAGTGAGATAAAGCATGTATAAATAACATTTAGTGCAGCACAGCATAACCACCCAGTAAATGCTATTTGTTAATAACTTGTCTTCTTCTAAGTTATGCATGTTGTAAAAGTGGTTTGCTGAAAGAATGTCTCATTATAATCTCCTCTAAATTTCAGGATTGTTTTATTTCTTCAGTGGACCGGTACAGATTGAGTTTGACCCTGATGCCAAGACGGTGACAAAGCGTGTGAAGAGTAACAGTTGGTTAGGTTGTAAAACATGAGAAGGAGAAGAAGACAAGACAGACACTTGAGGTGAATACACTATTATTAATCTAATCATTCATTGCATTTGAACGTGCAGGAACCAAAGAAGACAGGACTTGATAAAAAGATTTAGATGGTTATAATTCTAAGCCATCAAATATTTATTCCAATGGCTTTAGTGGCATCAAATAGAAGTAGGATATACTCATGAAAAATTGACGAGAGAATGTGTCTTCATTGGTAGGGATTTTTGTAATTTAATAAATATATTTTACTTGTGACATGTTATTTGTTCTCTAGAATTCTTTTTCACTACACTGAGCACCCTGTGACGTATCTCCTGGCAGACAGAAGTGGATGCTATAGAATCCCATACTCCAGGGTTGGGACATAAAGCTGAGACTTGGCCTTTCCCTTCTTTCCTTCTTCGGAGAATAGGATTTGGTCTTTTTCTCTAAGATATTGTCTTTTATACACAATTATTCCAATACTGGGAATATACCCTGAGAATATGAGAATTGAGGCACAAACTGACATCCGTACACCAATGTCAATAGCAGCATTATTCACCATCACAAGAATATGCAAACAGCCCAAACATCCAACCACAAATTAATGGATTGAGAAATTATGGCACATTCACACAACGGAATACTATGCAGCATGCAGGAGCAATAACTTTGTAAATTTTTACTTAACTTTGGAGGGACTGGAGAGCATTATGCTGAGTGAACTAAGTCAGTCCCACAAGGATAAATATTGTATAAAACCATTACTATAGAATGAGTGTAAGTGTCCAGGAGGAGTTGGAGAGGCTGGAAGCAGAGGAATGTGGATGTGCAGGGGGAAGGGAGAATTAATCATTGGGTTGTACAGTTTGATGGGGGTGGGATGAGGGAAATGGAAAGAATGTGTATTCTAATTTTATAAATAAACTAGTGGTGGGGGTGGGGGGGCGCAGGGAGAAGGCTCCAGACAGTCATTTTGACTGGAACTTAGTAAATGAGCTGCCTTAGTATAGTTTTGGAGAAAGATAATGTTACATAGGTTGTTGTTGCTGATGTTGTTGAGTGAATATAATTCATAGCAATGCTATGAACAAAGATCTGAGCTCTTTTCTATCCTACACTATCCTCACATTTGTGTTTTTATCATTTTCTTTTTTTCTTCTTTATTTTATACTGTTTTATTTACAAAGTTTGAATGTATTGTTTTTCACACTAGATCTTTCTCATTTCCTTTGCCTCTCCCTCCAACCATCAAATTGTGTGACTCTGTGATTAACCACTTTTTGCTTCTACCCTCAACCCCCTTGGGTCCTTTTAGTTGTTCTGCAAAATGGACTTGCACAATATTTGTCTTTTGGGGACTGAGTTAATTCACTTAGCATAACACTTTCCAGTTCCTCCCAAGTCAGATAGTAATGTACAAAACCATAGCTCCTTCATGCTGCTTATAGTATTCCATCGTGTGAAAGTATCATAATTTCCCAAACCATTTAATTGTTGTTGCATGTTGGAAATAATTTAAGTAGAATTGGTGATAGATCCTCTCTAAATGTTTGGTAGAATTCAGTTGTGAAGTCTGGTCCAGGATTTTTCTTATGGGGAAGTCTTTTTATGACCTGTTCCAACTCTTATTTGGTGATCTTTCTGTTCAAATGTTCTATATCTCTCCTTGTCAATCTGGGTAGGGCATGGGTTTCAAGAAATTTGTCCATTTCCTTTAGGTTTTTAAAATTTATCAGAGTATAGCTTTTCATACTATTCCGATATTATAGATTTTATTTCATCTGGTTCTGTTGTAATGTTACCTCTATTATTTAGATTCGAGTTATCTGTGTCTTCTTTTTTCACCCTTTTGTTACGTTTGCCAGTGGTTTGTCAATTTTATTGACCCTTTCGAGAAACCAGTTTCTGATCTTATTGATGGTTTCAATTGTTTTTCTATTTTCTATCTCTTTGATTTCCTCTCTTGTCCTTATATTTTCTTTTCTTCTACAGGTTGTAGGATTAGATTTTTGGGTTTTTTTCTTTTCTTTTTCTATTTGATGAAGGTGTTGGGTTAATCATTGATTTTGCTTCTTTCTTCCTTTTTATGTGTGTGCCTATTGCTATGAATTCCCCTCTGTGGACTGCCTTAGTTGTATCCCAGAGGTGTTGTTATGGTGTATTTTCATTTGTTTCAAACAACTTTTTTGTTTGATTCTTTATTTACTTTATAACCTATTTGTGTTGTAGCAGAAAGTTATTCAGTTTACACATGTGTAGTTTTGTAAACTTTACCCCTCTGTGGTTAATTTCTAGTTTTATGGCATTGTGGTCTGAAAAGACACTTTGTATTATTTCAATGTTTTGGGTTGTTTGTTTTTTTTAATTTGTTGAGGCTTGGTTTGTGTACTAATATGTGCTTGATTCTGGAGAATGTATCCTGTACACTTGAGAAGAAAGTGAATTGAGTTTTAGTTGGGTGCAGTACCCCAAATACACTCTCAAAGTCAAGGTGCCTGATCTTATACTTTAGATTTTTGTTGAGTTTCTTTTGAGTTTACCTATCCTTTGGTGACAGTGATGTCAAGTCTCCTACTACTATTGTGGTGTCTTCTATTTCTTTCTTCAATTTGGTTAACCATTGTTTTATTTCTTTTGCAGGTCTATCATTTGGGTCTAACCCATGTTGATCAGGGTTATGTCTTCATGATCTAGTGTGCCTTTATTCAGTATGTAATGCACTGTCTTATCTTTTATGGTAGTTTTCCTTCTGAAATCTATTTTGTAAGAAATTAATATTGCCACTCCTGCATTTTTCAGATTGCCATGTGTTTGGTGTATTTTTTCCCAGATTTTGAGTCTGTATTTCTCTCCATTTTTCAGATGGATCACTTTTAGGTAATAATATATTGATCAGTTTTGTTGTTTTATCCATTCATCTACTCTTTTTCTCTTAATTGATGCATTTAGTCCATTCACATAAAGTGTGATTATTGTCAGGCCAAGATTTTCTTTTGCCATTTTGATTTTTCTGTTGTTGGTGGTTACTATTGCCCCTGCAGTTTCATTTGGCATCTCCATGTGGAGGACTTCAACTAAAATTTCTTATAGTTTTGGTATTGTTTTCAAAATCCCTTAAGTTCCTTCTTTTCTACAAAGGATCTAATTTCTCCTTCATATTTGATGGAAAACTTTTCTGAATATAGGATCCTTGGTTGGCAATTATTTTCTTTCAACTTTCTTTATATACCATCCCATTGTCTTCTAGATAAAATTATTTCTGCTGAGAAATCAGAACTTAATCTAATAGTTTTCCTTAAGTAGGTGACTATTTGCTTTTCTCATGCTGCTTTTAGAATAATATTCTATCCTTATCTTTTAATCTGGAGAATTGACTATGATATGTCTTGATGTTTTTCTTTTTGGGTCAAGTCTACTTTGGTTTTGTTGTGCTTCTTGAATGTGGTTTTCCCCATGCTTCAAAATACATTGTAAGTTTTCTTCTTGTACTTCTTCCACAATTTTCTCAGTGATTTTCCTGTCAATCTCCTCTACTGGAATTCCAATCATGGGTTTTTTTTTTTTATGTCATCTGACATAATTCTAATATTTTCTTCATTTTCTTAACATCTCATCTCTGGTTTTTCTTCTAGGATGGTTCCAGTGAGGCTCTTGTCTTCTAGGTTACTGACTTTCTGTTGTATCTCTTCAGCTCTACTATTTTGTCTTATCAGCATGTTGGGCACTTCTGGCATTTCTAGCTTAATATTCTGGATTGCATTTTCATGATTTTCTGTTATTTACAGTACTGTGTTGGCTGCACCCCCTCTATCTTGTTGATGACTTTTTTAAGTTCTTGTACCTCTTTATCTATACTTTCATTTTTTTCTTCCATCTTTTGCATTTCCTTCCACAGCTTTTCAAGCTCATCAATGTTTCTTCTGGATTGTTTTCTCTATGGTATTTGCTTGCTTAATTGTTTATTTCACCATTTACATCTTCTTTTGTAGCTCTTAAAATACTCCACATCAACATATTTCTTCTGGTTCTGTCTTTGGTATTCATTGGATCTGCTGATTGAGAAGAAGGGTTGTTTTGCTTTTTCATGGTAACTGAGGTAGACTGCTGCTTTCTTGACCTTATATGAGTCTTTTCTTGGTAGATGTTAGGTCATTGTCCCTATAGAGTGACTCAGAGTATGGCTGTGTTATGTGAAGAATCTTTATATGCTCCCTTCTTGGCCTACCAGCAGTGTTTCACCCATAGAACCTGAATAGGAAACCAGAAAACCTATTGTTCCCTACCAGAATTGGCATTTCCACCTCACTTGAGCTGTCCCAGTCCCTTGCATATGAATGTAAAGGGTCCCACTTGGTGTAACTAAACAGCAGTGTTTCACCTAAAGTATCTGAATAGAAAACCAGGAAGCCTGTTGTTCCCTTCTAGAACTGGTGTTGCCCACCTTGCCCAAGATGTCCCAGTTCCTTCTACTTGAGTTTAAGGGGTTCCACATGTCATAGTTTAACATCAGTGTTTTCCCCAAAGTACTAGAATAGGAAAGCAAGAAGCCTGCTGTTCCCTTTTAAAATTGGCATCTCCACCTCACTCGCTCTGTCCTAGTCTCTTCCATTTGAGCTGCATGGTAAGCAGGGGTGTTGCACAGAAGAGAGACACCGCATTCACAGTACTTTGGGGGAATCACTACTTTTAAACTACATTCTCACACTTCTTTATACAAAAGACCCTACTGAAGTAGTCACTATCTCAATCCGCCTGGTTGAGGGTCTTCCTCTCCATTATGGATTCTCTACCCTTCCCAGCATTATGTCCTTTTCCAAGAAATAGTCCCCTCCTAGCTACAGGCTCAATGTATGTAAGGTGAAGCTTCATCACTCTTGCATCAAAGAGCACTTCACCTGCACCCTCTACAAGTCATATCTGTTTGTTCTCTTAGCTATCCATGGGATATTCAGTGATCTTCTCCAACACCACAGTCTAAAGAAGGAACGGCTTTTACTGTCATCCTT